ATCCAGCTGAGACGTTTACTCACCACGTGCACAATGAGTCCATGCAGACCCGTAGACTTACGTAGACACCCGTATGCGCAGAGCCTCACACAGAATCACGGGCTTACATACTCACGCATATACCCATAGACAGAGGCCCCACAGACGTACACGTACACCAGCGTACATGGCTGGAGACCTATAGACCTACATAGAGACCCACAGACTTAACAGAGATCTATACATAGACGAGCACAGACTCTCCAGCTTGCAGATAGGAATCGTCGAGACCCACGCGTGCACAAGCGCAGCGTGCGCGGCCCTTCCGTCGATCCACTGCCGGTTCAGCGCCTCCCCGCTCCCTGCGGGAAGCGCCAGGGTGGGTTTGACCGTACTTCACCACCCTGGTCAGCGCAAGTTCTGTACCGCGCAAAGTTGGATTTGCGCTGCCCGCTGGTGGCACGTCAATAAACTGACCGCAAGCGAACCGGAATCCCACCCGCTAACTCACGCCCCGGGGAAAATCTCCCAATTCCCCAAATCGGTGGCGAATCTCATCGCGCGGCGGCACGCGCGCGGATTAAGTCGACCCCCGCGCGGACGTCCCGTGTACAGTCAAGGAGCTACCCGTCACCTTCGAAACAGGGCCTCGAATGTTGAGCCGGTTCGACCCACAATGCTGGGGCATTTCTGACGGTGGCGGTGCTCTTCCACGACCCTTGTGAGCAGCAAACCCCTCTGGTGGATGTCAATTTCTCAAGTGGTGCGGACGTGTTTGTTTTTCTTCTTCTTCCAAACGCGGGGGGGGGGGGGAGGAGGGGGGGTGGTTATTGTTGAGGAACCACAACACGGGACGTGTCAGTGGCGCACGCAAGCCCCCCCCCCCCCCCCCGGGGGGGGGCCCCTCTGCGTCTTTCGCCACTGATCACCTCGAAACAAACAGCTTTGACCTGCTGCTCCGTCCGCCTCTCCCGCCGGGCACACGCTGGGCGAGCGGAGGGCGCGAAAGGCACCAAATGGCCGAGCGGGCGGCAACACAGGGAGCGCGAACATCCGAGTTGTAGCTCGTTCAGAGTGTAACATTGCCCCGCGATTTGAGCGAGGTTATTTATTATTTCAAGAGCTTGGGGGATGAGAGATGCCGACGACGACGACGATGATGATGATGATGACGGGAATTCCCAAGTGTCGCAGTGGCGACGGAAGAAGCGGAAAGAGATGCGAGGTGACCTGCAGTGTGGCGAGTGGAAGAGTGGGTGGGGGGCGAGTGAGGCGACTTTGTGAGAATGTGTGCGAGTGAGCGAGTGGGCGAGTGTTTTTTGGCGAGTGACAGGGAGGGAGGGTGGGCGAGTGAGCGAGTGGGTTTGTCGTTGTTGTGACCTGAAATATGACCGAGATGAACATGTCTGCTGGACCGAGCCCTCGTACGTTCACGTGAACGGCTTCGATGACAGTACAAGCGATGGTACAGTGTACAGACACGCGAAATACAAATCCAAAACGACAACAAATATATTTAAAACTCGCACGTAAACTCTTCTCCGCACAGCAGAGACGAGAGGTACAACGATGGCCAGCACAAAGCACGATAAACCCATTCAGCCGAGTTCGAACCCTGGTCACGGCTAACATCAGTGGCAAGTGACATCTGAACTGATCCTGAACAAAGCCTTGTCAGCAATCAGCAATGACCACATGGATCAAGTCGAGTCAAACGACCTCCATGACAAGGGGCTGTTTTATATTATTACATTATCAGACATGCATACTCGCACAGAGACCCACTCACTAACGTAGACTCGCTGAGAACCATTGACTCAAGAATAGACTCATAAAACTCACATAGACCCCATATACAGCACCCACACAAAGACCCATAGACTCACATAGAGATCTATAGACTCACAGAGACCTCCAAATACTTTCCTAGAGACCCACACACCATATACTTGCATCGGGACCCAGCGACATACAGATGCACAGAAAACCAGCGATTTCACCAACCCGCACGGACCAGCGCGGTGAAGCATGGTCAAACAACCCTCACGACCGGGACAAAGCTTCAGGCCTCCAATGCAGCAGTGGACTGAGCAAAGGTCGGTAAACTATTCTTTCCATCATCAGCCATGGTCAATCCACCGCTGGATGAAGGACTTCTCAAGCCACCTCACGATTCCGTGATGTAATTGAACCACCCAGCAGCACCTGCCGCATGAGACCATCTCATCGCTCCATCTCCTCGACGGACGTGCTCTTTGCGGATTACAACACGAAACAATCAACACATTCGTCAATAGCACCGTGGTCTTACAGACGTACACGTGTAACTGCCGCAATGGCCCTTGTTCAATGGCGGAGCCAGAATTTTCAGGTAGGGTGGGGGCAACCCCTCCAGCAATGAAAGATGATGGAGGAGTTGTTAGTAAGTAAGGACTTGTCCCTTGATTTTTATTCGATGCGTGTGCGGTGATGGGGCAGCCATCGATTGAAAGTCGAATTCGAACCGCGCTGTGTGATCGGCATCGCGCTCGCTGAAGGTGCCGATGCCTTCAGGGGAGTCGTGGACTCTGTATACGCAACTGCGCACAATTCTGTGAGTCGCTTTTTATAACCGCTTTGCCGTTACTTATTGCCATCTTCTTTGGTTCTTTCGGTAAAGTCACCATGTAGAATGAGAATAAAATAATAAATTGATAAAATAAAATAACACAATAAAATTCTCACGACGTTTCGGCCACAACACAAGCGGCCTTCATCAGGTGAAGGGACGAGACTGTCTGGTAGGACAGCGCTGGAGTGTTTATTATTTTATTCTCATTCTACGTGACTTTACCGAAAGAACCAAAGAAGATGAATCATTGCAGTCACGAAAGCTTTAAATCGAAATTTACTTATTGCCAATTATGGACTCAGACTATTGTCCTATCATCTCATAGAGTCCCTGGCACGTAACAATATGCTACACAGTGGCAGTTGCAATGTGCCGAATTATTACTAATAAACCCCAATGATCCGATTGAAATTAGGGATTTCGATCGGATCATTGGGGGGGCACGTGCCACCCCCCCCCCACCTGGCTCCGCCAGTGCACCTATTCATAGCACATAGGAAAACAGCGAGGCCAGAGAAAGCCGGAGTCCATAAGAAGAGTTGGAGACTGCACCATTGGGACCTGATGAGAATTATATTTTTAGACTCGCGAAAAGACCCACAAACTCGCAAAGAGACCCAGACACACATAGAGACCCACAGAATGATATCCAGGCACATAGAATGATATAGCGACCCATAGATTGACAGAGACCCATAGACTTGCACAGAGACCCATAGAATGACATAGAGACCCATAGAATGACATACAGACCCACAGAATGACATACAGGCCCATAGAATGATATAGCGACCCATAGATTGACAGAGACCAATAGACTCACACAGAGACCCACAGAATGATATACAGGCCCATAGAATGACATAGAGACCCACAGAATGACATACAGGCCCATATAATGATATAGGGACCCATAGATTGACAGAGACCCATAGACTTGCACAGAGACCTATAGAATGACACAGGCCCATAGAATGACAGAGACCCACAGAATGATATACAGGCCCATAGAATGACATAGAGACACAGATTGACATACAAGCCCATAGAATGACATAGAGACCCACAGAATCACATACAGGCCCATAGAATGACATAGAGACCCACAGAATGATATACAGGACCATAGAATGACATAGACCCACAGATTGACATAGAGAACCATAGACTCACACAGAGACCCATAGAATGACATACAGACCCATAGAATAACACAGAGACCCACAGAATGACAAACAGGCCCACAGAATAACATAGAGACCCACAGATTGACATACAGGCCCATAGAATGACATAGAGACCCACAGAATCACATACAGGACCATAGAATGATATAGCGACCCATAGATTGACATAGAGACCCATAGACACACATAGAGACCCACAGAATGATATACAGGCCCATAGAATGATATAGAGACACACAGATTGACATATAGGCCCATAGAATGACATAGAGACCCACAGAATGATATACAGGACCATAGAATGACATAGAGACCCACAGAATGACATACAGGACCATAGAATGATATAGCAACCCATAGATTAACATAGAGACCCATAGACACACATAGAGACCCACAGAATGACATACAGGCCCATAGAATGACATAGCCACCCATAGATTGACATAGAGACCGACCCATAGACTCACACAGAGACCCATAGATTGACATAGAGAACCATAGACTCATACAGAGACCCACAGAATGCCATAGAGACCCACAGAATGACATAGAGACCCATAGACTTGCACAGAGACCCATAGAATGACATACAGACCTATAGAATAACACGGAGACCCACAGAATGACATACAGGCCTATAGAATGACATAGCCACCCATAGATTGACATAGAGACCGACCCATAGACTCGCACAGAGACCCATAGATTGACATAGAGAACCATAGACTCATACAGAGACCCACAGAATGCCATAGAGACCCACAGAATGACATAGAGACCCATAGACTCACACAGAGACCCACAAATTGACATACAGGCCCATAGACTCACACAGAAACCCACAGAATGGCATACAGGCCCATAGACTCACACAGAGACCCACATAATGACATAGAGACCCATAGATTGACATAGATACCCATAGACTCACACAGAGACCCACAAATTGACATACAGACCCATAGACTCACACAGAGACCCACAAATTGACATACAGGCCCATAGACTCACACAGAGACCCACAGAATGACATAGAGACCCATAGATTGACATAGAGACCCATAGACTCACACAGAGACCCACAGAATGACACACAGGCCCATATAATGACAGGTACCCACTGAATGACGTAGAGACCCGTCAGAAAAAAGAAAAATATAATCGGGGACGTTTCGGCCAATGGCTCTTTATCAGTGCTGTTGTAGTTAATGATCTCTTACCTTTACTCCCATCATCGTCGGGGAATGAAGGTTTCAGTCTCCTTACATTTCAGCTCAGCCACTTCCAGGACGCGTAGACGAAATGGTGTGTACAGTACAACGAACTACACACGCACACAGAAACGTAGAGATACAGCTCCCCCATACAGACAAAGCAGGCGGTTAGGGCAAGTGCTGTTAGCGAGCACCTATTAAGGCCACTGCAGGAGGACGCGTGGTGTTGTTGGTCAGTGGTGGTAGTTGACGTCTTCAATAATAGCGCGCTCGGCCGCCTTTGTCTCCCCGGGAACTTAAGAGTCACCGAGTTGGATTATATCCGCTCTCGCCACTGAGGCTCACCGTGGTCTTGTAGCGCTAAGTGTGCTAACCACTGCGCCACCGCTCCCCCCCCCCAAACCCCACAACAAAACACAACACACAACCCGCATGATATAAAATACACGATATGCATTCATACTGGAGGAATCCGATGAGCTATGAAGCTCTTTGCCATCGCTTTTTAAACTACTTGGGGCAGCAGGCGCTGCTGTTAGCGAGCACTTCGTTAAAAGGCCGGAGCGGGAACGTCAGGCGTGATTGGTGCAAGCCGGTACACCACGCCCGGCCGTCTTTGTATCCCCATTACCGATACAATAGGTAGGAGGAGCAGGGGGGGTAATCGTTCAATTCCAAGAGGATGGAGGGGGAGCCCCCCCCATCGAAGTTAGCCGTGAGCGTGGCCGAAACCGAATGAAAGTGGCGCTAACCACTGCGCCACCGCTCCCCACTCTCACCACCACCACCACTCAACGCAAAGCTCCCCCGCGTAGCCTCAGACTTGTCAGGGCCAAGTGCTGTTTAGCACACACACCCACACACACCCACACGAGGCGCGCTCCGCCCCCGGACCGCCTTTGTCTCCCCAGCGGCGATGTTCACCGCACTCCGCGTGCTCGTTTGAGGCCGAGTCGACCTAGGGGTAAGTCCCCGGCAGGACCGGTTCGGGTAAATCGTCACGGACTCGGGTTTGGCGGGGTCGTAGCGCTAACCACTGCGCCACCGCTCCCCCTCCGCCACCGCCACCACCACCACCACCACCACAATCAACAAGCAGAGACAGACAAACAAACAACAACAACTCACCACATCACGGCGTCGGCAGCGATCTGCGAGCTCCCATTATTAGTATTATTATTGTTTGTCATCAGAGAGACAAGGGTCCACTACAGAGCATCATCAGTACGCGTATGTACACAACGCGTATTTATTCTTTACTATCACCACCACCACCGTCGTCGTCATCATCATCATCACGGGCAGGCGCTACGTAGTGTAACGTGGTGTAACGTTGTCGATCTACGAGCGCGTGGTGAAACTTGCGTTGTCTGTCTGCCGCGCCTGTACGCCGACGCGAGACCGTGTGGACATGGAGCGCCCTACGACGATATAATCGATCCGTGACAGGGCGAGGGTTCATAAATTATGTTAAAATTAGAGGCCCATATATGGAGTCTTTGGGCGTGGTTTTGACCATATAAGGAACAGCAGATAACGTGATGTAATGAATCCGTGACGGAAGGGAGGGATCATAAATTATGTTAAAACTTGAGGCCCATGTGTGGAGTCTTTGGGCGTGGTTTTAGCCATATAAGGAACACCGGAAAACGTGATATGAATTCGTGAAGGATAGGGCTCATAAATTATGTTAAAACTTGAGGCCCATATATGGAGTCTTTGGGCGTGACTTTGACCATATAAGGAACACCGGATAACGTGATGTGAATCCGTGACGGAGCGAGGGCTCATAAATTATGTTAAAATTTGGAGCCCATATATGGAGTCATTGGGCGTGGCTTTGACCAAATAAGGAACACCGGATAACGTGATATGAATCCGTGACGAAGCGAGGGCTAATAAATTCTGTTAAAATAAGAGGCCCATATATGGAGTCTTTGGGCGTGGCTTTAGCCACATAAGGAACACCGGTGAACGTGATATAATGAATTCGTGACAAAATGAGGGATAATTATGTTAAAATATATGAGGCCCATATTAAGAGTCATTGGGTGTGGCTTTGGCCATATTAGGAATACTGGAAATGGGATTTCGACCGATTTCTTAACGATACAAATACCAAACACCACTTCATCCAAAGTGCCTGTGAACGAGTAGTGATCGAGGCTATTTAAATCCTGCCGCATGATCTCTTGATCAGAAAGAGACATTGTTGGAATCAAAACCAAAATCCCATGTTAGGCCCGGACGTTGACGCCAATTCGGCTTTCAAAGCATTAACATAATATATGCATAAACATAATGTGAATCATTAACATAATGACTTAAAGCTTTCGTGACTGCAGGAATTAATATTCTTTGGGTCTTTCGATGAAGTCACGTGGATAGGTTGACCTATCCACGTGACTATGTTGACCTATCACGTGACTATATTGACCTAACTACGTGACTATGTTGACCTATCTACGTGACTATGTTGACCTATCTATGTGACTATATTGACCTAACTACGTGACTATGTTGACCTATCACGTGACTATGTTGACCTATCACGTGACTATGTTGACCTATCTACGTGACTATGTTGACCTATCTACGTGACTATGTTGACCTATCTACGTGACTATGTTGACCTATCACTTGACTATGTTGACCTATCTACGTGACTATGTTGACCTATCTACGTGACTATGTTGACCTATCTATGTGACTATGTTAACCTATCTACGTGACTATGTTGACCTATCGACGTGACTATGTTGACCTATCACTTGACTATGTTGACCAATCACGTGACAATGTTGACCTATCTACGTGACTATGTTGACCTATCTAATTGACTTATTTGACCTATCACGTGATTATGTTGACCTATCTACGTGACTATGTTGACCTATCTACGTGACTATGGAGACCTATCTATGTGACTATGTTGACCTATCTACGTGACTATGTTGACCTATCACGTGACTATGTTGACCTATCACGTGCCTATATTGACCTATCTACGTGAGTATGTTAACCTATCTATGTGACTATGTTGAACTATCACGTGACTATGTTGACCTATCACGTGACTATGTTGACCTATCTATGTGACTATGTTGACCTATAACGTGACTATGTTGACCTATCACGTGACTATGTTGACCTATCTACGTGACTATTTTGACCCATCTGTGTGACTATGTTGACCTATCTACGTGACTATGTTGACCTATCTACGTGACTATGTTGACCTATCTACGTGACTATGTTGACCTATCTATGTGAATATGTTGACCTATCTACGTGACTATGTTGACCTATCACGTGACTATGTTGACCTATCTACGTGACTATGTTGACCTATCTATGTGAATATGTTGACCTATCTATGTGACTATGTTGACCTATGACGTGACTATGTTGACCTATCTACGTGACTATGTTGACCTATCACGTGGCTACCTATCTATTCTCTCCCAGGACCTCAAGTGGGAACTGAACATCAGCTCCCTCACCAAGAGAGCTCAACAGAGGATGTACTTTCTACGGCAGCTGAAGAAATTCAACCTGGCAAAGACAATGATGGTGCAATTCTATACAGCGATCATTGAATCCATCCTCACCTCCTCCATAACCGTCTGGTACGCTGCTGCCACTGCCAAGGACAAGAGCAGACTGCAGCGTTATCATCCACACTGCTGAGAAGGTAATTGCCTGCAATCTACCAACCCTCGAGGACCTGCACACGACAAGGTCCATGAGGCGAGCGAGGAAGATTGTGGCCGATTCCTCCCACCCTGGACACTCTCTGTTTCAGCTACTCCCCTCCGGCAGAAGGCTTCGGTCCATCAGGACCAAAACCTCACGCCATAAAAACAGTTTCTTCCCATCTGCTGCTGGCCTGTTAAACAAGGCCAAGGGCTTACACTGATTTTAACATTTTATCTACATAATGACACCTTGCCGATATTTAACTATATTCATGTTCTTGGTTCTTTCGGTGGAGTCACGTTGAAGGGGAACAACAGGATAATGGGATGTATGTGGAACAGTGCGGGTTCTCACGACGTTTCGACCATAACACAAACGGTCGTCTCCAGGTGTTTGTGTTGTGGTCGAGGCGTCGTGGGAATTTGTATTGTTGTGTATATGTTTTATTGTTTTGTTGTTTGCCTTTGGCGTGGCTTTGCCGAAAGAACTAAGAATATGAGTTACTGCAGTCACGAAAGCTTTAAATCAAAAGATATTAACTATGTTAACCTATTGTATTTTTTTATTTTTAAATTATATCTTAAAGCTATTTTATATTCGATATTTATTCAATTTTATATACTTCAGCCCCTTGGTGTTAGTTAGATTTTTAACCCTTATTATTATAGTAAGACTTGTTTAAAACTTATTTAAGATTTTAGATTCCTATATGTTGAATGTATGCACGATCCTGCCAAAGTAAATTCCGTGTCGGTGTGAACTTTCATGGCGAATAAAACCCTTTCTGATTCTGATTCTATGTGACTATGTTGACCTATCTACGTGACTGTTGACCTATCTACGTGACTATGTTGACCTATCTATGTTACTATGTTGACCTATCACGTGACTATGTTGACCTATCTACGTGACTATGTTGACCTATCATGTGACTATGTTGACCTATCACGTGACTATGTTGACCTATCTATGTGACAATGTTGACCTATCACGTGACTATGTTGACCTATCTACGTGACTATGTTGACCTATGACGTGATTATGTTGACATATCTATGTGACTATGTTGACCTATCTACGTGACTGTTGACCTATCTACGTGACTATGTTGACCTATCTATGTTACTATGTTGACCTATCACGTGACTATCTTGACCTATCTACGTGACTATGTTGACCTCTCACGTGACTATGTTGACCTATCACGTGACTATGTTGACCTCTCTACGTGACTATGTTGACCTATCTATGTTACTATGTTGACCTATCTACGTGACTATGTTGACCTATCTATGTGACTATGTCGACGTATCTACGTGACTATGTTGACCTATCACGTGACTATGTTGACCTATCTACGTGACTATGTTGACCTATCTACGTGACTATGTTGACCTTTCTATGTGACTATGTTGACCTCTCACGTGACTATGTTGACCTATCACGTGACTATGTTGACCTATCTACGTGACTATGTTGAGCTATCTATGTGACTATGTTGACCTATCTACGTGACTATGTTGACCTATCATGTGACTATGTTGACCTATCTACGTGACTATGTTGACCTATCTACGTGACTATGTGGACCTATCTATGTTACTATGTTGACCTATCACTTGACTATGTTGACCTATCTACGTGACTATGTTCACCTATCTACGTGACTATGTTGACCTATCTACGTGACTATGTTGAGCTATCTATGTGACTATGTTGACCTATCTACGTGACTATGTTGACCTATCATGTGACTATGTTGACCTATCTACGTGACTATGTTGACCTATCTACGTGACTATGTGGACCTATCTATGTTACTATGTTGACCTATCACTTAACTATGTTGACCTATCACGTGACTATGTTCACCTATCTACGTGACTATGTTGACCTATCTACGTGACTATGTTGACCTATCTACGTGATTATGTTGACCTATCACGTGACTATGTTGACCTATCTACGTGATTATGTTGACCTATCACGTGACTATGTTGACCTATCACGTTATTATGTTGACATATCTATGTGACTATGTTGACCTATCTACGTGACTATGTTGACCTATCACGTGACTATGTTGACCTATCACGTGACTATGTTGACCTATCACGTGACTATGTTGACCTATCACGTGACTATGTTGACCTATCTACGTGACTATGTTGACCTATGTTACTATGTTGACCTATCTACGTGACTATGTTGACCTATCTAAGTGACTATGTTGACCTATCTACGTGACTATGTTGAACTATCTATATGACTATGTTGACCTATCTATGTGACTATGTTGACCTATTTATGTGACTATGTTGACCTATCTATGTGACTATGTTGACCTATCTATATTACTATGTTGACCTATCTATGTAACTATGTTGACCTATCTACGTGACTATGTTGACCTATATATGTGACTATGTTGACCTATCACGTGACTATGTTGACCTATCTACGTGACTATGTTGACCTATCACGTGACTATGTTGACTTATCTACGTGACTATGTTGACTTATCTATGTTACTATGTTGACCTATCTACGTGACTATGTTGACCTATCTACGTGACTATGTTGACCTATCTACGTGACTATGTTGACCTATCTACGTGACTATGTTGACCTATCATGTGACTATGTTGACCTATCTACGTGACTATGTTGACCTATCTATGTGACTATGTCGACCTATCTACGTGACTATGTTGACATATCACGTGACTATGTTGACCTATCTACGTGACTATGTTGACCTATCTACGTGACTATGTTGA